TTCTGAAACTTCTAAGATGCATTCTGATCGGAATTCTGAGTTTCGTTGAAAGTATGAAAGTTGGAAAAAGCATAGAAAGAAAGGAGTTTTCAGTGTAATGTACTGGAGAATATTTTTAGAAGGTGCAATTATAAATATCACACAGAACAGAAAAGGGTGGAGGAAGACTCCAAGAACTAGGATACACATAGTTAAGTACACGATTCTCCATTAAATGCAGTCTTGCATAATTTCATAGAACTAAATAAAATCGCCTAACATAAAAGTGTAGGTCAGCTTGACTAAATTTCGTCAGATACCACATAGCTGCACTGATCACCCATCTCCATACATGAGCCTACATGTCAAAAAACAAGTTGTATTTTGTGGAAAATACAACTTCCAAGCTAGTCCCAAGTAAACGAAAGAGTCTCCATAGAGTAAGGAACATAAGTTTTCAATGGCATCTACACAGACCATATCAAATGACGATCTTAAAATATAATATATATAGACCTATTTATAATTTTAAGGTTCACAAACATCCTACTCCAACATGATAAATGAGAATTTAGCTCATGTAAAAGTGAAATTAAATTCAGTAACGCCTTTATTCAACGGGAATCCTGAAGAGATTATTGTCGAAGCTGTATTTCCTAAGAGAATACAACTGAGTCACACAAATGTCACTGCAGATATAATGAATGTTTTTGCATGCCAGTGTCACTCACCCTGGCCTGCCTGCACCCCCTCCCCCAGGCTTTTCAAAATGTATTTCATACACAGACTCACTGTTCTGGTTGTTTATTTAATTAACATGACAGCCCGGCATACACAGCATTTCTTTCAGTTCTACAGTTTTACTTTTTACACTTTTGACTCAATACAGAAAGAGTAAAATTACTGTTTGACTCCTTCCAACCTCTGTAAATTTATATAGATTCACTGACTATTTCTGTCAGTTAAAACATTTTTTTAGTATGCTTTAAATATCTGTATTCACCAAGTAAAATCCCAATTTTGTCCCCACACACAAAAAAATTCCTTTCCCTCACCTTTCCCAAGGGATAAGAAAATTGTGTTTTTTCTTTTTAGTGTTTCAGAAGTTGACAGTAATTAATTTTAATTCTGTCACTAAGTCATAAATAATCAATATTGCTCTTTGTATCACCATCAGCTGAGGTACACTACTGAAATGTGACAGAAGTGACAATTTCATTAAAAACTCATGACTGTTGCTGAAATTTATTCAACTTGAGAAATACGTTAGACTGCATATATTTAGGCACGTAAAGGGCAATATAGTCTGTTTTTTCAGAAGAAATACTTCCATATTTTACATTTATACCAGAAAGGCAGGTAACATATTGTCTACTCAAGATGGATCAAGTTGGCCTACCCTATGCCTACCATGGAAAACCACACCTACTTCTGTAGTTTTTTCTTTTTTTTTTTGTCATTGTTTGTTTACCATTTTACTTGAAAATATTTGTCTTCTATCAGTGACAGATTTGATTCTACTTTTGATAACCAACCATCAGATTCCATTATAATCCTATGAAAAATCTATTTTTGCTAATAACGCTTAACTAAGAGTTTTGAGAAATACTAGTAGGAAACAATCTTTATTTTTAAATATACAATCTGAAGAACATAGTTATACATTTCTGATTGATATTGTTTCCTTCATTAAATGGTATGTCATTAAATGGTACAAATGCATGAATGTGCCTTGTGTTATACTATGCAAAACCATAGGAAAACATTCATTTATGCTTAACATGTAACTAAAATAAAATGACCCTACTTAGGCATCTTTCAAAAATGAATGTGTAACAGGGGCACAGTAATCAGAGGACTGGACATTTGTGTCCTTTGATATATAAAGAAAACAGAGAGACAGCCCTTCAAATACAACCTCCAGATGGTAAAAAAAAAAAATGTATAATTAAAACTTTATGTTGAAAAATAGCATGCATTAATCACACAGGCTATCTAGCAATTCAAGAAATGCTAGCTAGCTCCCTTGGTGTAGAGAGTGGCAACTTGAGAGAGACAAACCTGCTTTCAGATGGAAGCAACCACTTAAACAAGAAACATAGACCTTGGTGGAAATGTCTGCCTTCTTAACACCAAAAAAGTACAGTGAGAGACACACCAATCCACAGAATCAGCCTCTTCTGGGCTGCGAGGACTGAGCTGAAAGCCACAAAGGCTGCAAAGTTGGGGGTGGACAGAGGGGGAAAACGTTTCTTTGTTTTCCCATACATGCCCAGAGTCTGAAAACACTACACCTGATCTCCTTCGCTTGAAGTCACCTTTATCATCTACTCTACAAAGCTCAGAATCTATAGCTGATTTAATTTAAAGATCCAACTGCATGCTTAAAGGAAAGGAGAGAGAGAGGGAAGATGGAAAGGAAAGCCACCTACCTGTTGATTTGTCTTAGATAAATTTTACCATCTATTCTCCTTGACCTGAGAGAACAGAGTCAGAATTGAGCAAAGAAAGAGGGCCTAAGTGGCCACTGTCACTCACATAGGAAGGAGAGGCTGCAACCCTCTCACCTTTAAACCTCTTAAAGAGCAAAGTCCAAATAAATTCTCAAAGCGTCTGCAAGACTCTTGCTTTATGTTCTTATGCCTCTATTTAAAATTTACGTGTAGTCTGAATATTGTCTTGAGAGAAGACATTCTTATACCAAAGAATCCTGCAGCAGGAAACAGGCAGAGTGTTACATACATACATGCTTTAGAATTATTTGATTCTCGACTTCATAAAGTATGCAGATGACAGTGGTATACTTTGCACCCTTAATCAGACGTTTGTTTCCTCGTGATAAAACAGATAAGTCATTTACTACAGAGCTCCTGAACTTTTCACACAGTTAAGCTAACGTATGAGATATTGCTCTATGCTATAAATACTCTTCCATGTTAGTTCCCACCCACCCCCCATATTTATGTTCAGAACAACTTTTAATGGGTCATATATAAAAAGCAGTCTTTGGGACACGTACACACTCACCCATGTCCTCATTAAAACTTCAAGAATCTAAACTTCTGCTAAAGGTAACCTTGTTTTTCCATAAACCCTATGATAGTCTCTTTAGAATATTCTTTCAAACATAACCTTAAAAAAATAGTAGCCAAAGAAAATGAACAAAAGATGTTACAAACATGTATTTTCAACAGTAGTGATCAACAAAACATTTTAAAATAAATGTTCAGATATTTTCTTTTAAATGTGTCAATTAACAATTTAAACCAGAGAAAATCAATAAAAAATCTAAGACTTAATTAACACTTCTGTCTAGTTTATCTAAATACCTTATCTTAAATCCACCTTTAACTTCATAATTTAAGTGTTGATATGAAATGTCAGAAGTTAAATGATATTAATTTGATATTAATTTGAAATCAAGCTACTAATGATTAGATTACATGTTGTCTTAGAAACTATGGTTTAGTTTTATAATGATCATATTATTCCCCTATAAAGTGTATACTAAACATATTAGGATAGCAGTATATTCTGTTAAAAGACACAGTCTCCTATAATTGTGAAAAGAAATTAAAATATGTATCTCCCTAATTGGTTTACCCTTAAATAGATAGTTGGGTAGATATTTGGAAATCAGTGAGTCGCCTGTTTTAAACTACACTCTTAGAGTAAGCTTAAGCCCAAGAAATGTTTGCTTTATCTCAATGAACAGCTAAATAAATATATTTGTTTTAAAATAAACAGTGGCAATGATGCTGTCATCTATTCTGCTAAATAATGTCAAACAATCACATTCTGTGTAATCAACTCCATTGCTGAAACAAAGTAGCCGCCTACACCATATGGTGACTGCTATTTCTTAGAAATACTTAAATGATTGCCCACAGAATAACCTAAAATATACCTTAGAATACCTCTCACTCTCTAATGTTGCCCTAATAGTACCATAAAACAGCAGAAACGTAAATGAGAAAAGTGTAAATTTCCACTTGCTGTACATAAGCAGCTCCTCACCCCACCCTACCCCAAGTGTCAAAACTACTTGAAGTAAGAGTTAAAGGCGTAAGTGAGTCTTTTCTGATACAATTCCTACTTTAATTTGGGATTTGTTCTCTGATGTCCTTTACGGGGGCTGTATTCCATGCCTTTAACATACTTAATGATAATGAGGAGAATCATCCCCAAATTCATTGAACTTTTATGTAGGCCAACTTCGTAAGAACTCCTAATTCTTGATTCTTCTCCTTTCTGAAAGATTTCTATCACCAGCAATGTTAATATTATTCTCCCAGATTAATACTTCCTGTATAATACAGATTAAATCCAATTTAATTTCTAAGTCACATAAGCATGCATGTGCAAGAAAACTTACTTTTAGTTGACACCTCATGATTGGCACATTTAGACATTGTTCTCACACACATTGTTCTCCAAAGTGAACTTTATGATATAAAACACATTTAGCATGTAAGGCCGTGTGCCCCCAACTACCTCAAAAACAAATGGGGTTTCTTCAAGTCAAACTTGGCTGCAAAACCAGAAAGTGTGTATAATGCCTCACCTTCACGCTTTACTCTAAAATCGTCTGACTTTCTTAAACATTCAGTTGCTACTTTAAATGACATTTCATAGAAACAAACCCAGTGCAATTCACGAGTTTAAAATTCTGCTAAAAAAAAACTAAAGTAATTCAGTATTTCTGCTAAAGGAAGAAAGCATGAGAACACTTAAAACTGCAGGGAACCCATACGCCAGGTGTAGCAGTTCTAAACAAGTGGGTTCAGCTGCGGAAGACCCTCCACCACACCATCTGGCTTTGTTATTTATTCGTGGTTGTTTTTCAGGTTACAAAATACTGGGTGAGGGAGGGAAAAACTCACTAGTTTCCGAGTAAGCCTGAACTTAAACCACTTCTCTAGTCTATGTATCCAGAACTTTGACTCCCTCTACTTTTGCGCCTATTCCCCAGTGTTAGCGAGAGTTTTCCCGAGAGTCTGAGAGGAGCAGCCAGTGCTTACCTGTTCCCTCGGTATGCAGGGCAGGGAGGTCCTCCGATGGGACTTGCTGCTGCAGCCCGACATCTCGGCGGACACCACGGAGCTGGACCGCCTCCTCCGCTTAAACACCGGGATAGCTTCCTTGGTCCCAGCAATCAGCTGGGACCCAAAATGCTCCCTCGGAGCCTCCCCCGCGGACTGCGGCAAGATTTGCTCCGCGTACCTGGCCAGGAGGATCCCCAGCACGCCGGCCAAGTACGCCAGGTACGGTCTCCAGGCGACCTTGAACCTCTCTAAGGAAATGAGGGACACGGTCCTGACCGCGCTAGTCAAGGCGATCATGAGGACGCCCAGCCTCAGCCTCAGCACCAGCCATGTCGCGGCGGCCAAGCAGCTGAGCACCACCCCCGCGGCGGGGAGCGAGAGTAAGTGATCCTCCCCGACGCCCAACCCAATCTGGACGAGCGCTTCCCCCCCGCAGCAGGCGGCCAGCAGCCCGACGGCCAGAGGCAGGCGCACCCCGGCGCGCAGGAGGTACAAGCCCATCCAGAAGAAGGCACACAGGAGACTGAAGAGCAGCGCCGAGGGCTGCAGCCAGGGGCCGAGCGGCGCGCCGCCCCCGGGAGCACCTCCCCGAGGCCCGGGGAAGACGCCCCCTTCAGCTCCCGGGGCCGCTTCCTCCTCCTCCTCCGCGGCGGCCGCTTCCTTACTCTGCTCCAGCTCACTGCCGATCTCCCCGCGGACCAGCCTCACCAGCAGCGCCAGCAGAAAGGACAGGGAGCCCGCGCACAGCGCCGAGGAAAGTTTCCGGGAGCGCTGGAGCGGCTGCAGCACCAGGTCTCCCCAGCAGCCACGGCGGCCCGAGACTCGCAGCCACTCGTGGCCCGCGCTTTGGGGACCGTCCAGACCCGCCGCGGGGGCTTGACTCAGTTCACCCGGGCCCGACTTGTCCGCCCCTGGGGCTGCCTCACGGGGCACTGCCATGGTGTGCCCGCTTCACCGAACACCCAGGGCCTCCAGACGCCCCCACATGCGCACACACACGCTGTCTGCCAGTCC